TCTGGCCACCGTATCTAATGGTTGGCATGTTATTTTTCATCCCTCAGTGGATCCCTGGGTCGTGTCATTTTTTGGCTTTTCCTGGATCTGGGTGTTGCCTGCCAGTAAGCCTGTCACAGAAGCTGTGTCTGGACCCCTAAGCCTGTCATGGCTGCTGTGTGGTCAAGCTGTGCTGGGGACCCTCAACATTCACCCCTTCACAGGTACCAAAGATAGGGCTCAATCATGAGTCCTACCTGTCCAGGGAGGCAAGGGTTTGGGGACCTACAAACCATTAGCTAACAGATTTTTCTAGGGCAGTGACATATTTATCTACTCTCATTCTTAAGGCCTTGTAGTTCTGATCTTTGAGTGCAACCAGATTAGAATCTTATGTTACACCTCTTTGGTTCTGCACAAAGAATGTCAAGTCTCTTATCTTATTGCAGAGCCATTTCAGTTAATAACTTTATCGATTTACAACTTGAACCTATTTTCATGGTATGTCAATGAGCATTATAGTTGGCCATCTTGCCCGTATGCCAGGGAGTTTCCTTTTCATCCAACATTTCAGCCTTCTCTGGACAGGGAACATATTTTCTTCTGCAGCTGCTTCAACCTGGCATTGGGGTGCCATTATCAGGGCCCCATAAAGGCTAGTCAAAGGCTGGGCAATGGGGCATTGGCAGGAACATGTGGCTATCTGACCCCATAGACACAGGGAACAAATCAGGTTGGCTGAGCTGGTCCATGTCAGTTTTAGTCTGGAGCTCACAGTCGTCCAGAACAGTGTAGTCAGCAACTGAAGCTTGGAGGTGTCTGCATTCCAAGGGGAAATCTGTTGAGACAAACTTAAACTAGGAACAGAAGTTAAAATTTATGAACTTATTCGGAACCCTAAGACTCACATCCTTAGTAACTGGGAAGAACAGGGATCCCAAGGCCAAGAGAGAGAAAAAATACCATCCTTACAAATAAGCTGTACTCATCTGGGGTCCTTCTGACATCTGTGAAATGGATCCAAGTTTTATGACTCTTTTAATCCTCTGAGGCCTACAGGAACTATCTTACAATATGACATAAAAGTTTTAGATAAGTTAGTATTATCAATCTGTACTGAAATCCATATCACAGACAAAGCAGGTGATGTATATCTGTAAAACAGCAGAAGTGGATTCATACCTTTGTGACCCAACAAGAACTACAGATTTCAGTTAAAAGCATATGCATTTTCCCTCTGTCCAGACAGACAAGTATAAATTGGACAGGATGTTTATTTTGGATTGGGGAGAAGCACTTCTAGGTTTATAGAAGACAACTAAAATTAATCTAAAATGTTGAGCTTGTAACTGAACAGAAAGTAGCCATTATTCTATCAGCTTATCAGAACTCTATTAAATGTTGAGTTCTGAACTCTTATACCATAGAACAGGAGAGCAATCTGAAACATTTCTCATAATCTATATCATTTTCTGGGATCCGCAAAAGCTTATAGGCTTTCATATCCTCAGATCTTTCTTAGACCCATATTTAAACCTTTATGACTTATTTAAACTTTCATATCTTAGAACCTTTTTTTAAAAATGAGCTAACAAGCCGGGCGGTGGTGCCACATCCCTTTAATCCCAGCACTCAGGCAACAGCGGCAGGCAGATCTTTGTGAGTTCAAGGCCAGCCTGGGCTACCAAGTGAGTTCCACAAAAGGCACAAAGCTACACAGAGAAACCCTGTCTCAAACAACCAAAACAAAAAACAAAAAAAAAAAATGACCTAACAAGCTGGCTATAATAGCCTTGCAGAAGGATCTGGTTGTCTGATGCTGCCTAGCTGACAAAGTTATCACTAGCCTAACTGTCAGTACTATCAGAAATCTGAGAAGGATAAATTATGTCTGAGGGCAGACCAAGCAGCTTCCAATCCTATAAATGACAGGGACCAGTCCATACCCAGGTTTCCATAGCGTTGGAGGCCCCAGTCAGAACAGCATCAATCTTCTTTGGCCATCAGGCCCATAAGACAGAGTTTTTTTCTGTGGAAGAGGGACATGGGAAGGGTGTTTTATTGCAATCACAAAGCACCAACTCACCAAGGCATGGACAAACATCGCTCAGTAAATGTCTCTTTGAACAGAGATGTAGCAAGTCTACTTTTTCAAATTCTGAAAGACAAGTACTCAAACCAGGGACCAAACACAGCAGAGGACAATTAAAAAAATATTACAGAGTCATGGAGGAATATATATATATATAT